ATTAATGTCTGATATAAATTAGGAAGAATTTTAGTATTTAAATCCCATATATGATTGGATAATTGGATCTATGGATTGGATCTCTTAGTAAGTTCATTCTTTGTTGACAGGATTTGATAAAATAAGTGGATACGTGAATTACATGTCAGTTATGAGTCAAATATTACACCCAAAAATTTGATTTCGCGGACTTGTTTCAGAGAATGACCATTTAGACACAAGTTTAAGTTGTAAACCAGTCTCTAAAGACCACATTTCTAAGCTGTTTAATATTTGCGTAGCTAGTTCTATATATTTACTTTTAACATAATATATTACTAGCTAATCACCAAAAATTTTAGCTTTTACGGGAAGTTTTATGTGGTTTGTTATACTATTCATTTTGATTAAGAATAATAGTGGACTTCAGGCCGATCCTTGAGGAATTCCATTATGGAGTGATTTCGATGTTGACACGAATCCATTCGCGTTTACTTGTATGGACCTGTTTTGAAGAAAGTTTTTTGGTGATTGCGAGAAAGTTACCATCTATTTTCCAGTGTTTCATAATTTTGAGGATATAATGCGTCCATGTTTTGTCGAAAGGGGTCCTGTCTTAAAAGGGTTTTGTCGTTTTGCGTCCATTTTTGATGTCGACAACTATTTCGATTACTTTTTGTTGATTTATAAATAATTATTGTTTGGTTGGCCCTAACTGTAACATTATTGTAATTGTAACTGTAACTGATCATAGTTACTTAATATTACTTTTTTCACAATCGTTTCATCATCTAAAGCTATGGTGTTACTTCACTGGAGTCATACCTCCATCTTTACACGAACGTTACAAATACAGTTATTGTTCTTTTAATGAAGCTGACTTTACTTGGTAATAAGTCAATTAGCCAACTACACACTACAACGTACGCCATGTCCGATAAATTTTACAATCAAATTTAAAATAATTTTGTAAAAGAAGTCTCGTTCGTCACTTTTATTATTAACTTCACTAAAATGTCATAAAACCTATAAACAGGTTTCGTAATTTAGTCTGTAGGAAATCTGAGACGCGTACTCTATTTGGTAGAGCTCACGTTTAACTTGCTAGTTCAACTCCAGACTCTACAATATACTTAAGAGCTCCATATGTAAGTATTAATGGATTTTCAGACTTCCGAGATTTTTTATTTACGAACTATTCTCCAAACATATTTCAACCATTCTCCCGGACTATCGAAATGTCCGCTACGTTTGTTCCGGAAGGAGCTGTGTTAACACTGTAGTGATTGAGAGGTGAAATTAGTAACATTAGTAATATTAATGATACTGTGGCTGTGATTACTATAAAAAGCTGAATTATTTTTAGATCTTTGTGATACAAAATAACACAATATTACCATAAAATATTCAATGCCATTAAACAAAGAGCCAATTATTTCTTATCTGTACTTGGTTGAGTAATGGCTACGATGTTATTAGGACTAAAGGGTGTGCATAATTATTGGCCTAAAGACCAATGCGGTAAATTTTTTTATATGGGCAAACTTAAATACGTCTATGCAGAGAAAAAATGTTTTCCTAAATGGAATATACTCGGAAGAGGTATTTTTAATATTCCTATATCAATTTAAGCACCAATATATCCTTCCTCTTTTATTACGTTTTATACATATCGCGAGTTTTTGCAACTTACTGTCACTTCACGTCTCCTAGACGCCATCGTTTTGTATTGTTACAGTCTCCTTCCGGTTACTTTTTTATAAAACAGATGAAAATATTCAAGCATTAAGATAAAACCAGAAAAGTAAAAAGAAAGGAAAGAAAAGAAGAAAAACATACAAGTAAGAGAAAAGGAAATGTAAAAAAGCAGTTAGAGATAGAAAATGAACAAGAAAGGTAAACTAAACAAAAGGTCAGTATACTTAAAAGTCCTAATGGGAAAACTCTAAAGTGAATAACTAGAAGAACGGTATGAAGACTGCAGCGGGCCCAAGATCCTTTAAGAACGACTGAGAGATGTTCTCAATAAAAATGGAGATACCCCAAATAAATTTCATTTGCAATCAGCAGAAGAAGCAGTTTTAGCGAAAATAAATGACAAATTCGAAAATTTGTTTTAATTGATTGGGAAAACTTCTAGAAAGAATGATGGTAAATTCTAAAATATTTCTAGAAGATTCGACGAGAAATTTGAAAATGTTTATTTTCAAATTTCTCGTCGAATCTCGGAAGAAACTTATAGAAGGAACAATGAGAAATTCGACTAAGTTTCTAGAACATTCGATAAAGTGGAAGAGAAGAAAAAATAATTAGAGAGCATCATAATCAATACGAAAGTGCTAATACCAGGTAATGCAGCAGATTTACAACCTGTAATGAAAGAAGAATCACCGAAAGACGAAACGACATACTGAGTGGCTTAGTGGCAAAGGTGCCTAACAAACAAGTGCTTATAATCTCTGTAAAACTCGTGTGCAGAATTAGCCTAAACTATAAATTGGTTTTCGCACCAACAAAATGTCATAGGAAGCTTGCGGCAAAACTGCCTAACCAACAAAAACATGGCGGATGTAAACATGAGCAGTCGTCACGCATTGAAGCCTTTCGGATCTGATTTAAGCGATATAATCCCAGTTCTTGAAATATTAAGTCTTCAGGTAAGACAGTAATAATATTATTAATATTATTAAATATAAAACAAACAAGATAATCCTTAAATACCCATTTATAAACAAATTAATGTGGCTTGGGCTGTTTTGCCGCAACTTATTTGTAATATATTTTTTATTGTTCTAGACGAGAATAATGATGATTTAAGTAAAAAAAACTCAATAAACGGGTTGTTGAACATTAAGAATCAAAACAATGATGAACCAGAAGGCAAATCGAACCAACAGTCCAGAAAGAGAGTAAGAAATCTTGAGAATCATATAAGGTATAAAAGGAGGATAGCCAGAAAAAAAGAGAAGAATATATCACGGAAGAAGGAAAACACTATGTTCGTGCAAAATGAAGTGTCTTATGAAAAATTCTCATGAGCGAAGGCAAAGCATCTTTATAAATTACTATTCATTTAACTGAAATCGTAAATGAAAAATGCTTTTATTTAAGGTCAAATAAAAGTAGAAAACAAAAATCAAACATACCCAAACTCAAAATTCACGTAGGTTTAAAACTTGTTTGTATATTTTACCGGATGAAAATGGTTGTGACCAAGGGTATGTAAGAATTTTTTAAAAGACAAAGTTTCCATTACAGAAGGAAAAATGTCATTAGTTTTAGCACGAAACCGAGAACATGGGACACCTCTTCAAGATGCAAGGGGCAAACATCCACCCCATAATAAAAACAATAAAAAAAACGAAAAGTATTTATGTGGCTTCATTGAACTGTTCCCAATATACAAATCCCATTACTCCCAAAGAAATAACATAAAAAGAAAATATCTTTCACCAACTTTGAATATGTCGATCATCTATCGAGAGTATAAAAAAAATGTATAGAAGACTTACGAAAACTCCTCTCCCTATTTATGTTTCGCAAAATGTTTAACCCTAAGTTTAATTTGCATTTTCATGCATCACACTTGTCAAAAGTGTGACAGTCTTAATTCTGAAATGAAATCATCTGATACTTAAGAACAGCGTAAACAGCATACAAAAGTTAAATTGGAATTACACCAAAGAAAAGCAAAGGCATTTTAAGAAAACAAAAACCAAAATATAATTAAAGCAAAAGAATCACAGCAAAAAATATCAGTTTTAGTCTTTGATCCTCAGAAAACGCTTTTTACTCCTGAGTTAAGTACAGGTGTAGTGTATTATAAGAGAAATCGGTGGACACATAATTTGAGCATCCATGATGAAGCCACAAGAAACAGGACACATGTATGTCTGGCCTGAGTATCTCGCATTCCGAGGAGCTCAAGAGATAGCTTCATGCTTAATAAACCATCTTACGAAGTACTTACCTGATTCTGATTTTGTATAGAGAAGCTTGTGGAGGCCATAATCGGAATATAGAGGTGGCTTTATTGTTAATCAATTACCTTTAAAAGTGTAAATCGTCACTCAAAGTTATAGAACAAAGATTTTTGTATCTGCACATAGCTTTATTACATGCGACCAAGATTTTGAGTTGATTGAAAATTAGAGAAAACACCATGATCGAATTTTTGATCACGATGATTGAGTTTCCATAATTCAACAATTTCAGGTCAAAAGAATGAACTTACTAGAGTTTTTTAGTAGCAAGTCCCTTGATAATAAGACAACAAATAGAAAAGTTACTATAATTGGCGACAAAGTTACAATTCAAATGGCTCACAATTCAACAGATAAGGTATCAAAAACAAACAAAAAAAAATCATCATCTACTGTAATACACAACCTAGATGTTCTGTATTCAAATGGGATGCTCTCCCAAACAAAAGAAAAGAAAAAGGATTTAATAGACTTACTTAAGTTTATTCTTCCTGAGTTTCACAGCTTTTATTTTGGATTAAAAGATAGTTCCGTTGCATTAGATTAGGGCTTAGCTAATTTTTAGCTAATAATAAGTTGGAGATTTAGTTTGTGTTTATCTTAATTTTGTTTTGGGCAATGTACCTAAACATAGCTGAACACACAAGTTTCTCTAGGAATATATCTTTTTGTAACGGTAAATGTGCCTATACTGTTTAAACACAGAATTAGAATAATAAAACTTAGGTGAGATTTTTCCTTATATGTTGTTTTAAGACCTTAGCTTTTCCTTAAAAAAAAATAAAGTTTCACATTTTTTTATTATAAAAATGATATATATATATATATATATATATATATATATATATATATATATATATATATAAAAATAAAAGAACAGAGTGTCATTCCAAATAAAACTATAAAACACTCGCTTTGGAAAAATGTACATCTTTATAATATTCGTTGTTTATACAGTCCAAGAGGCTGATTTTTTAAATTTATTTGTTTTGTTCCTCATCTCCAGAGCTAGTAAATAATTACTAATAATTTGCTTACCGATATCAACATATTGCTTTGGTCGAAGTACTCGGCCACAGGTAAAACATTTCGATAGAAATTATTGAGTTCCATACGAGCTAAGGATAAAACAACTTGACCTAATTTGGCACCATAGTCTATTTGTCGTTCTAAAACTTTTTGTCTCCATGATATCAGGATAACACCTTGAACAGTCTGAATCTAGAATAAAAATAGAATATTAAAAAAATGGTATCTATTGAATTTTGACATTTTTTAAAGTAATAACCAGAGTAACACCATAGAATGCATCATCCAATAAGAAGCGAAAGCTTTGTCGGTACCTTTGTTGTTCATAGGAGAGAAAATTCGGAGGGAGAATGACAGTTGAACTAGTTAGTACACTAAGAAAAGTAATGAGGAAGGCGTTCAAAACAGTAGTAAAGGTATAGTTACACTGAGAAACAAAGTAATTATTAAAACTAATGGTTTTTAAGTAGATCTGTTTTGTATGAATTGTAAGTTTTTCTGTAAAATCTAATATAACCCATATATAAATTCTGTACTGATAAGTAAAAACGTCTTAAGTCAAAAATATCGATTTGTTTTTTTTTAACAAACAAATTAACATATTAAAAGTATTTTAGTACGTTAAAAAATCGATAAAAAGCGATTAAATTTAAGACTTAATTTTAAAATAGAGATAAAAATCAGTCGATTTCTATTACTTTCATCGATTTTTTAAGGTATTAAAATATGTATATACAACATATATGTAACAGTATTATTCTTTTTTTTTACTAATATATTATACTTTTTTATATTATCACACTTTTTTAAAGTATTAAAATCTGCATATGTATATACAGAAATATATATGACAGTATTCTTCTTTTTTTACTATTAAACAACACATACGAAACTTTACCTCTCAATACGTAAGCAAACAGTCAAAACCATGGACGTATAAACACAGATGGACTGAGTTATTTACATAAAATTGTGTAGTTAAAATTATTAGAATAGGTCACATTCTCAGCACCTTCAACTGTTGTCACGTTTTATTTTAAAATTTCTTATTCACGAGTCGCTGAAAATATTACTCCGTATTTTATACTCTACAGGTGCTATCAAACCAAAATAATACTTTATTGGTTAGATTAATATATTTAATTGTAATCAAAATATCAAGTGTGCACATAGTGTGCATTATCATTTAATAATTTAAATAAATTTAATAATAGCTTTATAGATATCAATCAATTATTTTATATGTAGAAGCACTGAAAACTAATTATAAATGGCAACGGTTGTTTACATTTCTCTGTCTTATGGATCTACGTCAAACTTCAAATGCTGTTCTATGTTTGTTTACTTTTTACAGATATTGAGGAAAAGTTATTTTTCGATATTTTGGCTGTATTTTGAGTGATATTTGTGAAAAGTGAAATAAAATAAACAAAATATTTACATCCCGATCTCTCATTTCATTTGTGAGTACATACAATTTACATTATTTAAGATGAGGAAATGAGGAAGCGTGTTTGTTTACATTTTAATAGGCGTACCATTGGGTTTATTCATGTTCATTAATGTATTGAATAAGATATGAGTTCATGAAATTAGTGACATACATGACATGACATTTTTAAATTGTAGGTAGATAGCATCTGATTAAAAAACATCTGTTTAGTACCTTTTTAATTTAATATTTCTCATGGATACAAAAAAATTAGTGAAATGAATAAAACTCATTTATTTTTCTATGTAGGTTTCCAAATAATATTGACGCTCGAACTATATGGGTAGCAAATTTAGGAGAAAACAAAGATTTTTTACTGTAGCAATATTTTGATACCTATTAAAAAATTAACTTGAATTCAACATTTAATTGTATTAATTTTAAAGCAAATAACATTGTATTTTAATTTTTCTATAAAGACGTGATTTGTTAATAGTTAAACTCTCGTTTTTTTTAATTCTTTGAACGTGTTTTTATACATTATTACTACTTCCAATTTTTAAAATCTGAATAATTACCCGCGAGTAATAATTCAAGCACGCTTATGCTCATTGCGGAAGCATCACATTCTATCGAAGCTTCAAAACATTGTGTGTTAAAGGTATCTTATTGCTGTGTCCATCTATGTTTATACGTCCATGGTCAAAACAAACAATACGTCAGTTTTTATAGGTTAACAAATAAACTATTTAGAACATGACGGATATAATATTTATACAAATTTGGATTGCGAAAAAGCCCTTCATTTCACTTTTTCTTGGGTGGTGTATTCTGTGGTAAACAGGCCACCAACAACCAACAGGCAACCAAGACAAACAACTAAAAATAATTTAAGTTATTCTGATGCAAAAAAGATGATTACCTTTTCTGAGTATTCTACAACGTCACGCATATTTCGTGGATATCCGGATATAAGGTAGGTTTTAGCATTAGGGGCCATCTTCATTTCTAACATGAGGACTTCGGTGACAGTCTTGCTGGAAAGAAGACCAAAATCTGGCATGTCTGAAATAAAACGTTATTTTTACATGATTTAAATAAATTATTTATTTATAGATGAAAATACACACTACGGAGCCTAACCCATCGAGCAAAAAGATAAAAGAGGGAATCTAATCGTTATGAAAAGGAGACCAAAAAAGTGGCCTCTGATGGCGGACATATCGGAAATGCAAAGGCGCTAAATTTAAATTTTCCAACACTTATTAACAATAGCTATAAAATATTTTTCAGATGAGACAGTTTTAATTAAATATTAACTATAATAGTCTAAAAAGTGACACAATTGGTAAAATATTTCAATATAAATAAAATTTCATGTGACAGTTGGGACAAACAATAACATAACCTAACTAAATTTGAGTTCTTAAACAAGGAAAAATACTGTCTATCCTTGTCTAAAGTGGCCTCTCAAGATGGCACTTCCTGTCTATCAATATGTTTACCCCCACTACCTTTACATTCCCTCTTTTGTCTTATTGCTCGATGGCCTAACCTCACCTCGTAACCTAAATTTATTTTCGAAATTATTTTAATTTTCGTTTTAACAAATCTAGTTTATTAAATAATTAAAAAAATGTTATTGTCTTTTCGATAATCGCCTTACCCAAATCTCTTATAGTCGTTTTTTTAATTGGCTTTGGATTGCTTGATTGATTTATTCAGATACGATATATAATAAATAATGTTTGCTACAATATTAAATATACCGATACTATATACATATGCGCACATATACACACTTATGCACGCACATACATATATAGTTATTAATAAATAAAAATAAAAAGAATACAAAAAGGAAGTGGAAACATTAAATTGACCTGTATTTATACTCTTTATTCAGAGTCCTAACCAACTTAAATTAATTTAAAAATAAGGAATAGACTAATAACACAAACAAATGCTAATACTAAATACTTATACTAAATACTGATAAATATTAATCTTTTTTCATAGCGCTAAGACATAAACCCGGTTCAACACCTTGGAGGTTTAGACCCTCTTTGTGATTTTTTTATAATGGTTTTTTTTTAATTGTTTTTTTTTTTAAATATATTTATGTATTTTTTTTAATGTATCATTTATATTTCTCTTAAAGCCATTATATTATAGTTTGATTTATTTGAAGAAATGTTTCATTTAAGCTGGTATTCTGTGCTGTGCTTCTTACCTTATTCTCCAGGTTGTATGTTTAGTCGTACATAAGTTTTCTGTGTGTTATATTATATTTTGTTTTTTATTTAGCGACGCTATATTTATAATGAGGCAAGTGGAAGGGAAATCGTTAGAATACAACAAACCGACATATCTATGAGTAAAAGGCAGCAGGCCTACGAGCACAAAACAGGTCATTTGCCTATGTAAATCCTCATAAGAAATTCTAAGGTACATTCTCCTCATTTTGTGGCGAAGGCGCAATGGCTCATCGGATCGTGACGTAAGAGAGCTCATTGTAAAGAGAAGGGGACGAGGAACACGTCGTATTATTATAACTCTATTGATGGTCCATGCCTTAGTATATTACAATTCTGTGCTATTGCTCCGGTAATTGTTATTGATTGCAACAGACAAAAGTGTCGATACGATTAGAAATAGAAACTAATAAGAATATACCAGCTAACACAACAGTGTATTGTTAAATTATACACGATCGTATTGTTAATTATAATCCTCTAACCAATGTAGTTCAAATGTTTCAACTGTATTTTAACTTTATCTATTAAAGCAATCTTTTTTTTTAAATAAATATATATACAATTTTTTGTGATATTTTTATTTAACACTCTGTACATAATAATATTTTCATAACTTCTTTGATGTTGAACATAAGTGTCCAATTAGACCGGACTAGAAGTAAATCTGCTTAAAAGCTGTTCAAAGCTGTTCGAGGCCTGGTCATAACCTGTTCGAGACCTGTTAGAAACCTGTTAGAGACCTGTTCAAGACCTGTGCTGGACCTGCTCAAAAACCTGTTTGAGACCTGATCTATAGCTGTATAAATCTTTGTAAACTGTAGGTATACGATTAACCTTTAAACAACTATAGATCAGGTCTCGAACAGATCTCGAACAGGTCTCGAACAGGTCTCGAACAGGTTTTGAACAGATCCTAACAGGTCTCGAACAGGTCTTGATCAGGTCTCGAACAGCCTTGAATACCTTTAAAGGAAATTTGCTTATAGTCCGGTTTAATTTGACACTTATGTTCAACATCAAAAAAGTTGTGCAAATATTTATTATGTACAGATCTATATACACATCTAAGACTGTAAAGGCTCGACACTTTACGGTTGCGTTCGGTGAAGACGTATTTATTATTCATCGGAATGATCCTGATAAATACACGGAATATTCATTTAAATGTACTTCTGCTACATTTATGGCAAACAGTGGCATGACAATAGATCAAATCCAACGACAAATGGGATGGAAATCGGCAGCTGTGGGGACTGGCTACGTTGAAGAAAGTATTACCAACATGCCCTGGAAACTTATATGAATGACCTTGGTTCATTTCCCCATCACTTTAACCCATCGAGCAAAAAGAGAAAAGAGGGAATCTAATCCTTATGAAAAGGAGACCAAAAAAGTGGCCTCTGATGGCGGACATATCCGGAAATGCGAATGCGCCAAATTTAAATTTTCCGACACTTATTAACAGTAGCTATATAATATTTTTCAGAATGTGTCTTAGACGAGAAAATTTTAATTAAATATTAACGAAAATAGTCTAAAATGCGACACAATTGTTAAAAAACTTCAATATAAATAAGGATATCATGTGACATTTGGGACAAACAATAACATAACCCAACTAAATTTGATGTCACACAAGGAGAGAGACTCTCTTTCCTTGTTTAATGTGGCCTCTCGAAATAGCACTTTTCGTCTAATAATATTTTTGCCCCCACTACCTTTACATTCCCTCTTTTGTCTTTTTGCTCGATGGAAAGACCTCAACCCAGCTATTTCGTATAGCAACCAACAAAGTAATCATAGCCAGAATGATTGCCAACGTTCGGAACGGACAGGCACCCTAAGAAGAATTTTCCAGTAAATTTTAATATTCGAATTTGCCGCCAAAAGATGATTATTGACCCCAGCTGCAAGGCGTCCTAATGAACGAAATGTATACATTGATTTGCCTATCTATTTCTACTATTATAATATTTATCTATGATTACCGATAAGAAGAATATTTCAAACTTCATTGGGAGTGACATTAATGGAAGTACAACCCCACTAATCTATGTACAACCCCATTAACTTTTAAAAATGTCGGTAGTATTAATTTGAACATTTTCTCTGATTTTAAAAACAAAGTATTCATATTTCAAACAATACCAACCATACTTTTCACATTCATTTAAAAGATTTAAGATTTTCAAATATTTGAATAAAGCTTTTGAATCATTTGTGAGTAATATTTTATTCATATTTTATTTATTTGACGTTACAAAGTATGTACTCCTGTCAGGTCAGATAACTGTTGTTGCCAAGGTAACTCTAAATAACGCGTGTTTTTGAAAGATGAATTTAAACACGCTGAGGTCTACTTTAAATAAGCAAAATTGGATACCAATAAAAAAATTTTCAGTTACCTATATTAAATATACACTAAATAAAATATTGCCCTAGCATCTTTCAGTATCGTACACCGCTGTCCTATTTTCTTGAAATAACTAATTTATTTTTTCCAGCTAGCTGAAGCTTGAAATTGCAATTACAGCCAGTTCCGACCGTTAAGCTACATTCTGCATATATTTAAGAAATTTATGGTTTTATCGCTGAATTATATTACAAGGTATGCAACTAGTCGACTTATCTTATAAACTTTATAGAAGATAACATTGCAGTGTTGCAGTATTTGTTATACACATAGAAAAAGGTCGACTGTTTTCATAACTCATTATAAACCCTAAAATAATTATATAAAAACAGTATTATAAATATTAAATTAATTTTATAAGTTCTTCTTCTTTTTCTTCTTTCTTGTATATAGGCTTTAAAGCCTGTTTCTTCTTCAATATTAGTCTCCTAAATTGTTTAAATTATCGCACCATTTTTTTTCTTGCTCTACCAATACTTCGTCCATTTGGTGACTTATCTCGTGCTATTCGTACTATCCTAGCCCATGCTATTTTATTAATGTATTCATTTTACTCATGTTTCCGGTTTGTCACTTATTCATTTATGTCTTCTATTTTGCATGCTGTTCTTAAGTTTCCGATTCTCTCCCTATCCAACAGACTTTTCTCTGATATTCGTCGGAATATTTTTATCTCTGTTGTTTCTAGTAGTTTTCTCGTTTTAGATGTGTCAGGTCTTGTCTCCGCCTTGTAGGTTAATATAGGTTACCAAAACGCTGAAGTTGGTGACCCCATACAATCTGTGCAATGATACAAAAATGGAAATAGTGAATACCATCTTTCCCAATAATCCCACTACAAACTTCGTTATAAATAAACACACCTGTGAAGACGAGGTTAGCCTTGCGGAACTCATGAGAGCCACAGATTCCATTAAAGCAGGTAAATCTTCTGGGCCAGATCGTGTGTCACCAGAAGCGATAAAACTATTAACCACATTACAACCAGAACCAGTAAGAGAAATCCTCAATCAGCTGCTGACAAGACAAGAATTCTCCGAGCAGCTCAAGCTCGCGAGACTTATATTTATACCTAAATCCGGCAAAAATTTGAACGAAGCCAGCGTATATCGGTCGATTTGTCTACTTGACTGTTTAGGGAAACTCTACGAGAATCTTGTCAAAAATCGCGTTGAAGACGAGTTGAGGGAAAAGGACATCATTTCAACTAGACAATACGGATTGCAAAAATCCGGAATGGAAAAGCAAAATCAGTTAACTCTGCCAACTGGGAGCACAACATAAGCAAATTAGAATCTGCCAAAGTGTCGGGATATTTAATAAACATCATAAAGATATACTTAAGTAATAGATATCTTTTAGTGGCTAGAAACACAAAAATCAGAATAACAGTC